AGTTTGCCAGGGTTTGCGTGGTCACAGGTAGTCATAAAATAGTATTGATTTAAAACTTATTTGCTCATTTTTTCTGCCTTTTTTGTAGGGCGCATCGAAAGTGGGCCTAGGCCCCGTACAAGTGGCTGTAATCATGCGCAATCTTATGCTGCGTTTGGGTTATAAGCGATTCTTCATACACGGTAGTGATATGGGTTCCCTAGTTGCTTCTCATATGGCTACGCTATTTCCAGAGAATGTACTTGGATATCACTCAAATTTGTGCGCTGTCTTCACGGAGCGGTCGCTTGTGAAAGGCTTTATAAATGCAGTGAAATCCAATATTTTCGGCGCACATGGCTTTGAAACCAATTTCTTGCCACATTGGGAGCCCATAAAACATCTGATCGAAGAAAGTGGCTACTATCATTTACAAGCTACAAAACCAGACACAATTGGAGCTGTGCTCACCGACAACCCGATCGGCTTAGCTGCCTACATACTAGAGAAATGGTCCTCGCTTACTAATAGGAAGTATAAAGAATCTGCCAATGGCGGTTTGAGTGAACGTTTCAAGCTGGATGCACTCCTGGATAATGTTATGCTATATCACTTGACGAATTCGATAATTACTTCCTCACGTCTATTCGCCGAAACTCATTCTCAGCAGCAACGGGAGTTGCAAATGGATTGGGTTCCAACTGATGTGCCGACCGGTTGTGCACGTTTCAGGCATGATTTGATACACTTTTACGATAATCAGTTGAAAGATAAATATCGTAATTTGATTCATAGCAAATATTATAGCAATGGTGGACACTTTGTGGCGCTGGAAATGCCCCACTTGTTGTATGCGGACTTTATAGAATTTGTAAAAAAGGTGGAGAAGTTTAGCAGTAGTCTAGCTTGGTTTTAAGTTTTCTAAATCAGATTTAACTAAGTTAAAGACAATAAATTTGTTTAAGAACGAAAATTTTTTTATTAACGATTGTATGATGATAACTTTCTAAGTGCTGTTCTGTCTCCGAGGCCCGCGTCTGAAATGATGGGGTCAACTTATACTGGACATAGATCGGTTACAGAAAGCAGCACGCAATAATAAAAATCACTAAAATATATGTATGTATGTACTCAAAAATTGTTGTTTCCAATGAATAAAGGTACAACACGTACTGCTTTTGCAGGGGTATACAGATGTCCCGGTAAATCAATATAAATATGTTAGCGGCGAAGCCTTGTATGCTATGGCCCAGTAGATAATTTCGGGAGAACTTCGACTCTACATTCGTTTCTCCTTTCTTTTTTGATGGAGTGGCACAAATTGAAGGCCTTCTGCTTTCACTACCCATAGGAGGGCTTCCAGAAGGGCTTTTGTAAGACGTATATCAGAAAGCCTTTTGGGAGTTGTTATAAAATTGCTTCTTTAATTCATAAACATCAAACTTCTTTAAGGTACTTATTCAAGGTTCATATAAAATATGTTTTGATGCAATTCAAAATGCATATTTAAATTCATTTGTAATGTTAACTGATAAAAATTTACGCATACGCGTAAATTGCAAATAAAAAAATGCTTTCTAGAGGCCATGCAGGTATGCACTTTTTTCAGTACTTCTTGGGTAGGCCTTTGATAATGACTTCCTTAAGAAGGCCTACCGAAATTATCTTCTGCGATATCAAATAAAAGAGTTATGAGAGAAACTCGATTTAGTTGTTTCGACAGGATGCCGGGGGTTATGTCCCACACTCTCTTAAAAAGAGGCAGAACTCAAAAATTAAATCTGCTGCTTGTGGATAGTGCATATGCACCGCAATTGATATAAAAGCAGGTTTAACAGCAGCTTTCTAGTTAGAGAATATAAACATAAAAAAAAAAATATTTGCATTAATTTGAGATAAATCCTACGAATTGGTTTGAGAAGAGGTTGCGGTAAGTAAGTAAAATTGTATATAAAATCAATGGAATCATTTTGGTTGTATTTCTACTAACGATGCTCAAAACCGAGGAACCGAAACCTTAGAATCGGGTCCTTTAGAGAACCGACCGGTCCGATTCTTACAAGAACTGAAAAACAAATCTGGAAAACCCAAAACTCAGTTATAATAGAACAGAAAAATGGTTCGGGAAGAACCGAAACTTCATTCCAAAAACGGTTTTAACAGAACCGAACTCGATTGCAAAAGAACCGAAAAACGGTTCCGAAAAACCGAAACTCGATTCCAAAAGAACCGAAAAACGGTTGCGAAAGTACCGAATCTCGATTGAAATTCGATTCCAAAAATACCGAAAAACGGTTCTGGCAGAACTGACACACTATTCCAGAAGAACCGAAGAACGGAAAACGGTTCCAGAAGTAGAAAATGATCTCAGAAAAACAGAAAAAATAAGTACAAAGATCTAAAAACCCATTCCAACAAAACCGAAAATGGATCTTATACAACCGAAAAACCGAAGTTCTGAGTTGACATACCAAATTTTTTTCGGTTCGAGACGCTATATCGTATACCCGCCAGATACCCGATCTAGCCGACTTACAACAACTTCATTGATTTGGATGCTATTAACTTGAAATTCGGTTTGTTTACGTAATATGGAGCTCTACTAAATTTTGTGTGGTTCAAGGCATCGTGTTACATAGCCGCCATATCCCGGTCTGGCCGACTTACATAAATTTCGGTTTGTTTACGTATTCTGAATTTCTGAGTTCACCTATAATTTTTTTATTATTTAATGTTATGTTAGTTTTCTTCCTCATCTTTGACGCTTTCAAATAGAGTCCGACCGATGAATCAGCCGGTGCCGAGGCTAATATCGGCCAAAAGTATCGGAATCGGCCGTTTTTGGCCCATTCTTGAATTAGGTATTGTTATTTAGTTATTTGATTATGCTTTTCTTTTGTTATTGTAAAAGTTTATAAAAGCATTTGTTCTTAAAATGAAATTATATTCAGGATTTAATCGGCAAAGAATCGGCCGATACTGCGGCCGGTTAAATCCTGAATTAAATTCATTTCAAGAACAAATGCTTTCATAAGCTTTTATAATGACAAAATAAAAACATAATCAAATAACTAAATAACATAACCTCACTCAAGAATCGGCCAAAAACGGCCGATGCCGATTCTTTTGGCCTATACTAGCTCCGGCATCGGCCCATTAATCGGTCGGACTCTACTTTCAAATCGTTTTTAGCTGCGATTCGTACGCGTTAAAAGAGCAGCGATAACATCGAGAAAATCATATTTTTATTAGGAAACATTACTGTGTTTTAAATAAAACCTAACCTGGAAAACGCTTACTTCAATTTCATCTCATGTATTTTATTTTTATAAAATTTTTATTACAAAAATTCAACTAAGGAATGGATGTAACTTATACATACATATATTTACTATTTTGTTTACTCCACTTTATAGCCAAAATATGAAAGGACGTTAAATTATTGTACAAACTTTTTAAAATTATGTTTTAAGCTACTTCGATGAGGCTTATTTCCGTAACTCTTTTTTTGAGAACCGGAATCGGTCCAAATTCCCAGTTCCGGTTCTTTTAATACTCGGAACAGTAAATCACTAATTTCTACTTCACATTTCATGATTTCGAGCCTCGAGCACACAGACGAAGGAGAGCACAAAGCGTGTTGCCCGAGCACGAGCAACTCGGTGCCCCTCTCCTTTCCTCGTCGCGCTCTCTCCTTCAAACGTCGAGTTGCGGCAACAAAAATCGCCGTGTGTAAATGAGCACTTATCGCATTTTCGATGTAACCAGCGTTGCCGAAAGCTTTCGATGGGTATTCGTCACTTTACCCTAAAAAATCGTCATTTCGGTCAAAAAATTGTATTTTTTTCACAAAATAAAAAATACAAAGGAATTGGATACAATGACTCGTGTGCGTAAAAATTAAGCAATGGCGTTTTCTTAAAATTGCATACCTTTAACTTAAATTTATTTGAACAAATTGAGTAAAAGGTCTGACTTTTTAAGAAAAAGCATTTACTTAGATTTTATGCATACGGCGCAAAAAATATGACCACACATTACAAAACCGAATGGAACCCACATTGCATATGGGTTAATAAAAGTGGATTTGCAAATGTGAACGACAATTCAAAATTACAATTTTGTCTTTTTTTATTTAATATTTATTATTTTTTTATAAAAGTCTAGCTGGTTACAACAAACACCATATAAATTCAGATTTCAAACTTTGTACAAAAATTATAAAAATTCTGGTTATTTTCACCAAAATTTCAAACTTTTTAATCAGAAATTTGGTGTGCAGTTTTGTAGACCTTTTCATTCTAGTATAATGAAGTGCAAGTTTCAAGCTTCTATAAAATCCCGTTAATTTTTGGCAATTTATTTTGCTGGCAGTGTTCTCCCTATAAAAGAAAATTGTCGCACATACTTTTGTATGGAAAAAACGTGAAACACCTTCAACAAAAAAAAAAAATCATTTTTGTGAGCTGTCGGCAAATGTTTTTTAATGTTGGCCGTCGCTTTATCTGAACATTTGATAAGAAATTCCCATGAATCAGCGAAAAAAGGCCGCTGCAGATGCTCAATTTCGTGCCGATACTAGCCGATGCCGATTAATCGGTCGGACTCTATTAAAAGCACGGTTGTAGAACAAAACTAGATAACTGCATGGTTGTATTTTGGATAACATTTTCCTGAAACAAATTTTTTACATACATATGAACATGGCTGTATTTCTTTATTCATTCTGAACGTTTGGAATAAGCTTTTTTGTTTATTTATTCTTTAGAACGTTCCTGTAGATATGTTGACGTATATTTCAAACGCATTCTGTTTATTCCGGCTGTGAAATGGGATTATCCGGAATGTATAAAGAAACACAGCCCATATGTAATTCGGTGGAATAACTAAAATAAAAATCGTCAATACGGGGAAAAAATCGCCATTGAGCTAAAAAAAACTTGAAATGAGGACGAAATCGTCAATTCGGCAACGCTGGTTCTAACCAACAAAAATATCGATTTAGTTTTTTGACAGCCATCGATAATGTTTTATCTTTCTCATCCCATTCTTTGTCTATTTTGATTTAGCGCCAAAGTCATTGGAAGAACCGGTTTCCGTTATATCGAAAGGAGCTGTATAATTAAACATTTTTGTTTCAGTGTCACAATTTATAACCTCATATATTTGTTAAAAATTGCAATAGATGAGTACTCAAGCCATGCCAGACATAAAAGCACCCGTTGCACTTACACATGCTTCTTCAGAGAAGTTGTCGCGGCATGAAATGCTGCGTTGGATCAACACAACCGTGCAGGGAGAATACAAGAAAATTGAGGAGCTGTGCTCAGGTACTATAAAAAACGTAGGCAGGATTTAACATACACATTTCCCTAACCATAGACTCCTTTTCAAGGTGTCGCTTACTGCCAAATTATGGAAATGATCTTCCCACAATCGGTAGGACTTAAAAAAATCAAGATTAACGCAAAACTGGAGCATGAATATTTGCATAACCTTAAACTCTTCCAAATGGCCTTCACACGCATAAACTATGAAAAGTCGGTGCCTATTGAACGCTTGGTAAAAGGCCGCTTTCAAGATAATTTCGAGTTCCTGCAGTGGTTCAAAAAGTTTTATGATGTACACGCGACCGATAAAGAAAACGTTAAAGCTCCAATTCCTCAACAACAGCAAACACACGCTAACACTAAGCCGATGAAAAAAGCGCTAGGCAAAGGCTTTTCTGCAATGACTCTTCCAACTGCGAATTCCACACAGTTCAAGGCAGAAGAAAATGACACTCCAAAAACTTTGAAAACTTTAGGAGAAACCCGTGACAAACTCACGAAAGAGGTTGGTACTGAAGCAAAAACAAAAATATGGCAATTTATTTTGTTGTATAGTGTGAATTAAAATGCATATTTCTATTAGACCGCGATTGTATTAAGCGAAAGAGATTACTATTACAAGAAACTTCTTGATGTTGAAAAAGTGTAAGCTAAACCAAATTATATGAAAACTGTTCAACTTATCGGTTAAGTTAATATATATTTTCTTCCTTTTAGTTTAAGAGAGTTTACGGATCGCAGCGAGTTGTGTGAACGTGCGTTAGCTATTTTATATGCTGTTGATTACGAGGACCCAGGCAATGGAAATAATAAACTAGGCCGGGAATCGGCAGATTTATAATTTGGGTAAGGCAAATGTGGAAGGTTGTCTTTGTATACTGTTATTTTTAATACGACTTGTACTTATTTTATTTAATTTTGTTTTTATGTATTGAAATGTTATACAGATTTTACAACTTGTAATATGATTAATTGCTGTCAATATAATGAATTTAATTGCTATTATCCGTATCACTAAAACTATTATAATCACAGACCAAAGCCAAACTTTTTGGGAGATCTACAAGCGTAGCTTCGCGTATAACGGAGTTCGTTTTATCCATAACTAGAGGTACCAAATCCTCGATACCGTTATGATTCTGCACATCAGAAATTTTGCTTTTAGTACTGTCAACTGCCGGTTCGCTAGGGGTGTCCATAACTGGACATGTTTCTTTTTTCTTTTTAATACCTAAATCGTCGAATTGTAAATGTGTATTCAGTATTTTTTGCCTCTTCAGTCCACCGAATGTCGTTTTTGTGGCACCTGGTAATGCTGGTTTCATTAGAATGTCTAAACGTTTTTCAGCTTCCCTTTCTTGTGCCGACCTGCTTTGCAGCATCATCAACTCAGCCATTTGCTTGTCCTGTCCACATTCAGGAAGAAGCGCTATATCGAGGCTATTCCTTGCAAGTATTTGATCGTCTAGCTCTTTTTGCGCTTTAAGTTCTTTTTTCTTTACCTGAAAGGAATATTTCAATAGAATCACCACTGATTTTTGGATAATTATAATAAAACTTACTCGAAATTCTGCTCTTAAGCGACAATTTGCTTCATAGTTGTCATCCCAAACAGTTTTATTACGATCCACTAAACGCTCCAACACAGGTTTGGCATCTTCTCCAGCTTTTACATCTTTCGCCTGATGTTCCAGCTTGTACATAGCATCATCGAACAATCGCCTTTGCGTCTCTTTCGTCTCGGGTACAACCTGTTCATTTTGATGTGGATCCCAGCGGTTTTCTTGTCGACGTGCACCCGATAGTATCAAATAATCCAAATTCCCAGGGTCCGTTTGTATTTCGAAGTGATTATCGCACAAGTGGCATTTCATACGAAACTTATATATTGGCGTGGAGTAGTACATGCCCACTTTGGTTTTTTCCGCATTATAACGCACCCCCATGCCAATGTGATTCTTGCACCCGTCGCACCAAATGTTATATGGCATTTCAAAACGGATTATGATGATGCCCAGATGGATTTTCCGGGCACGCTCCCGGAGCGCATGGGTGCCTTGGAATTTATTGAGACCTCCCTTCTTCGGGTCATAGTCCGGCGGATAGTACTTATTTTGTCCTTTGCGTTCACCCATTTTGGATTCGAATTAATTTCAGACGGTTTATTTATAATTTTTCTATATTTTGGGATTTGTTTACGAATAACACGTACGAGCACTTTCAGTAAATTCGATAACAAAATAAATTTGTTCACAATAGACGCCTTGAACAGCTGATTACGGTAAAAATTTGGGACAGGGTTGTATTGCTTTATAAAGTGATAGGGCACGGCGGTTGTTCGTTTGGTTAGCAATTAAAAAAAAA